GCGTAATATCGATGTGAAGATCGAGGATGAAGATGCTGCCCTGATTCTGTTAGTATCTCTCCCAATGTCGTTTGAGAATTTTGTTCAATCGTTCATTGTTGGGAAAGATACTGTGTCACTGGAAGAAGTCAGATCAGCCCTTCATAGCAGGGAATTACGGCATAAGGCTAACGGCACAAGTACGGACATACAGCCTTCCGGTCTGTTCACCAGTAGTGGAAAGGGAAGGAAAAACGGCGGAAAGAAAAATAAGCCGATGTCGAAGGGTGCAAAGCCGGATGATGTTTGTAATTACTGCAAGGAGAAGGGACATTGGAAATTTGATTGTCCGAAGAAGAAGAAGCAATCGGAAAAACAATCAGTGTCTGCTGCTGTTGCTGAAGAAGACACCAATTCTGAAGAAGATATTGCCCTAGTTGCGGATGAGCACACTCATCATTCAGATGTGTGGGTTCTTGATTCTGGGGCATCCTATCACATCTGTTCTAGGAGAGAGTGGTTCACGACTTATGAGCAGGTAGACGGAGGCAGCATCTCGATGGCCAACAGTTCTGTCTGCAAGGTGGTTGGGACAGGCTCGATCAAGATAAGGACACATGACGGTAGCTTCTGCACATTGAACGAGGTCAGGCACGTTCCATTGATGACGAAAAATCTGATATCTCTCAGTCTTTTGGACAGCAAGGGATTCAGCTGGTCGGGAAAAGATGGAGTCTTGCGGGTCTGGAAGGGTTCAAATTTGATTCTGAAAGGTGTCATGCGTGGTACTTTGTATTTTCTACAAGGTTCCACGGTTACAGGTTCAGCCCATGTTGCATCGTCAGAATTTCACCAGAAGGATATGACTAAGTTATGGCACATGAGACTTGGTCATATGGGTGAAAGAGGGATGCAAATTCTGTCAAAGGAGGATTTACTTGCTGGTCATAAGGTTAAGAGCCTAGAGTTTTGTGAACATTGTGTTTTTGGAAAACTACATCGCAACAAGTTTCCAAAGGCCATTCATAGAACAAAAGGCACACTTGATTATATCCATTCTGATTGCTGGGGTCCATGCCGTGTTGAGTCTTTGTGAGGCTGCAGATTTTTTGTGTCCATTATTGATGACTACTCAAGGATGACTTGGGTGTACATGATGAAGCATAAAAGTGAAGCCTTCCAGAAGTTCAAGGAGTGGAAAATTTTGATGGAAAATCAAACAGGGAAGAAGATCAAGAGGTTGCGAACTGATAATGGGCTGGAATTTTGTTGGTCTGAATTTGATCAATTCTGTAAGGATGAAGGGATTGCTCGACATCGCACTGTCAGAAATACACCACAGCAGAACGGTGTAGCTGAGCGGATGAATCAAACACTTCTGGAGAGAGCAAGGTGCATGCTCTCTAATGCTGGGCTAGATAGAAGATTCTGGGCAGAAGCGGTTAGTACAGCTTGCTACTTGATTAACCGCGGACCACATACAGGCATACAGTGCAAGACACCTATGGAGATGTGGTCTGGAAAAGCTGCTGATTATTCAAATCTGAAAGCTTTTGGTTGTACGGCTTACTATCACGTCAGTGAAGGTAAGTTAGAACCAAGAGCTAAAAAGGGAGTATTTGTGGGCTACGGAGATGGAGTGAAAGGTTTCAGAATCTGGTCTCCAGCAGAAAAGAGGGTTATTATGAGCAGGAACGTTGTCTTTGATGAAAGTCCTCTGCTTAGAACCATTGTGAAGCCTACAACTACGTCAGAAACTAGGAGTCTTGACAAACAGGTGGAGTTTCAAGTCATTCAGAACGAGAGCGATTTAAAGGAACCTGAAGAGGAGGATCAAGAGCCACAGACTGAAACTGATATTCCAGAATCTATGCCATCAGATATCCATCAGAGTATAGCTCAAGATCGGCCAAGGAGGGTTGGAGTTCGGCCACCTACGAGGTATGGTTTTGAGGACATGGTGGGTTATGCACTGCAGGTTGCTGAAGAGGTAGATACATCTGAGCCGTCTACTTACAAAGAAGCCATTTTAAGTTCTGATTCTGAAAAATGGTTTGCCGCTATGGGAGATGAGATGGAGTCCCTACACAAGAATCAGACATGGGATCTGGTCATACAGCCTTCGGGGAGAAAGATTATTACTTGCAAATGGGTTTTCAAGAAGAAGGAAGGGATATCACCAGCAGAAGGAGTCAAGTATAAAGCCAGGGTTGTTGCTAGAGGTTTCAACCAAAGAGAGGGAGTGGACTACAATGAGATCTTCTCACCAGTGGTCAGACATACTTCCATCCGAGTGTTACTAGCGATAGTTGCACATCAGAATCTGGAGCTTGAACAACTTGATGTGAAGACAGCGTTTCTACATGGAGAGTTGGAGGAAGAGATATACATGACTCAGCCGGATGGTTTCCAAGTTCCAGGGAAGGAAAATCACGTCTGCAAGTTGAAGAAGTCCTTATATGGACTTAAGCAGTCTCCAAGGCAGTGGTATAAAAGGTTTGACAGCTATATGGTGAAGTTGGGTTATACTCGGAGCTCATATGATTGTTGTGTCTACTACAATAGGCTCAATGATGATTCATTCATCTATCTAGATGATATGTTGATAGCTGCAAAGAAGAAGTATGACATTCAGAAGCTGAAGGGTTTACTTAGTGCTGAGTTTGAGATGAAGGATCTGGGAGCCGCTCGGAAGATTTTAGGGATGGAGATCATTAGAGACAGAGAGAGAAGGAAACTTTTCTTGTCACAGAGAAGCTATATTCAGAAGGTCTTGGCGAGGTTTGGCATGTCTTCATCTAAGCCCATTGATACCCCCAGTGCTGCCAATATCCATCTCACTGCCATGTTCGCTCCACAGTCAGAAGAAGAGAAGAAGTATATGTCACGAGTCCCTTATGCCAGTGCCGTAGGAAGTTTGATGTATGCTATGGTCTGTACAAGGCCAGATTTAGCACATGCAGTCAGTGTAGTGAGCAGATTCATGGGACAACCAGGGAGAGAACATTGGCAGGCTGTGAAGAGAATTTTCCGGTACCTTAAAGGTACATCTGACGTTGGTCTCATTTATGGAGGTGATACTCAGTGCTTGGTTACTGGCTATTCTGATTCAGACTATGCTGGAGATGTTGACACAAGAAGATCGATGACTGGCTATGTGTTTACCCTTGGAGGATCTGTCGTCAGTTGGAAGGCAACTTTGCAACCTACAGTGACTTTGTCTACTACGGAAGCGGAGTACATGGCCTTGACAGAGGCTGCAAAAGAAGGGATTTGGTTGAAAGGGCTGGTTAGTGATCTTGGTCTGCATCATGATCAGGCTACGGTGTATTGTGACAGTTTGAGCGCAATTTGTCTAGCCAAGGATCAAGTCCATCATGAGAGAACCAAGCATATCGACGTAAGGTATCATTTTCTGAGAAGTGAGAAGAGAATCAAGGTGAAGAAAGTAGGAACTGCTGATAATCCTGCTGATATGTTCACAAAGCCGGTTCCACAGAGCAAGTTTCAACACTGTTTGGACTTGCTCAACATCAGAAGCTGTTAATTGCCCTGTGGGGCAACTCTGAGGAAGAGGGGGAGGCCTGGCACTATCATAGTGCGTCTGAAGAATCTGTTCGGAGAATTCAAGTCAAGGTGGAGATTTGTTGAATGCCTTGAATCGGACCCGCTACAAACAGAAAGGACGGTATACAATGTTGTTGTATTGGGCCCTTAATTTTCTGTTGATTCTGTATGTTGGGCCCAAGCCTGTTAGGGCGTAGCTTAGCACTATATATAGACGCTATGGAAACCCTATTCTGTAATTCTGTTTTTGCCTCTCCATAATAAAACTGCTCCCTCTCTTCCCGTGGACGTAGCCAACAAATTGGTGAACCACGTAAATCTGTTGTCTTGTTTTTCGCGTTTATATTTTCTCGTATTATCTCAAATTCCGCACAACAGTGTTATCCTACATTACACCATCTGCTGCTTTCCACTTATCTGCTAACTGAAAAGTTGTTCACAACTTCATATCCAGGCATTTATATTTTGTGACGGCTGACACTAATTCATGCCTTGTTTTGTATTCACTGGCATCAATTTTCTATTTTTTTATGTTCATCTACATAATTTTTCTGCATGTGACATTGCCACTTGGACCCAAAGCAGAGGCCCACCTTTTAAGAAGCTTTGATCTTTGTCTTTGATTCTACTCCTGTTTATGACTCTGACTTTATCCTATATTCTTCAACTTATGCATTATAGTAATTGAATGTGGATGATTCATTCATAAAAGATGAGCAAGAACTAGATTGCTCAAATTTCCTGGTTATTTACTGTGCACCTTACTTGTCAGGTGACTGACTGGGAAGGAAGTTCACTTGATTTTGCAGCAGATCAAACTGAACGGAGACTCATCTTTCCTTCAGGCGGTGTTCTTGTGACTAATGGGAGCTTACATAGCAAGATTATCGAAATGATCTCTTCAAATTCATCAGTTCTTTGACAGGCTTTTGGCATTATTGTGACAAAATCAATAGTCAGATACTAATGAAGATTTCCTCCAATTCATCAATTGTTTAATGACACTTGCATTCTTTTGACGAATCACAGCATATAGAAGTATACATATCAATGTCTCTCCATTTTCTTCCTCCTCGTACTCATCAGTATCTCTCTGTTGTTTCTCATAAATACCTGTATCGTTCTTCTTTCATCTGTATGGAAGGATAATATTGGTGGAGAATGATTCATGACTGCAGTCTAGCTTATAAATCAATGTTCTTTTTGTTTCTTCCCTTCATTGAGTACTTCGATGAAGTGAGGATACTTCTCTTTTTTCATCTGTACTGCAGTCAAAATCTATAATCATCCAAATACCAGGCGAAATTTTGCCATTCTAAGTTGAAAATTTTCTAGCTGTGTCAATTATCCAGGCCTTCATTATATTAACCTATTAGCCATGTTATTTTTAAATTTGATTTTAATCTTCCACCGTTTCTAAATTCTCATTGGACGAAAGAAAACCACATAGACAGTTTCCTAATCCAAATCAATGTTGGAAAACAGTGAATTTGACAACTTGATGTCTCCACTTTGTGAAGTCGGAAATGCCACCTCTCTTACGATTACAATTTAAATCACAAGTATATATGCCTACGAAGTCTCAAAAATAACGACAATTCACATCTCTTTTCTCTTTTCACGTCAAAGCTTCATATATACCCCCTCCCATTTTATCTAATGGATAAATTGATGCAACTGTTTGGTTATCGTGGAAGTGAGATACCACAAGTGAAAGTCTGTGATTGCTGCTAAAAGGATGAACAAGTTGTACCACGATCCCTGCATCAACAAGTTACAAAAGGGAAGCAAAAACAAGTCAACTTTTTTGTGTACGTCGGGCAAGAGATCGAAATTTCAGTTTTACGATATCAACCACGGAATAAAATGGATAACGACTTCAAATAGCGTTTTGTCAACCTTACTTCTCACCCTGCAGTCCTTATATAAAGGGTGCACTTCCATATTTGTAAGGTACAAGCTAATTAAAAGATGGCATCATGATTTAAATACTTGTTTTATATATTATAATAACAGCTTTTCCCCCAAAACTTGTGTCAATATAATTGAAAAATACATTGGTGGATTCCTAGCAGAAGCAAAGAAAAAAAAATCACCAGGAGATGTTTTCTCAACTTACTTAAGCCTGGGAGGCAAGAGTTACTTGGTACATGTGTTGGTGGAAGTTAGCAAGTAGCCAGCTAGGTGCATACAAGCTGGCCAGACACCATGTGAAGGTACCAGACAATGGTAACATAATATACTAACCAGTTCAGATACATATCCACTGGTCCTTTCACCTTGAGGCTCATAATTTTGAGCTTCACTTCAGCTCACTCTTTTGATCCTTCGGTTTTTCATTTTTATCTGGATGCTCTGCAAATTTGATTACTATGACATTGACTTAAGAAAATCTGAACAAAATACTTGCATGACACAATTACTCAGCTACAAATAGACAAAAACAACTTGAAAGAGAAGGACATAAACTAAGAGTGAAGAACATTACCAGCAGCTATCATCAGTGAGGACGCATGAAGCAGTTCTTGGTCCAGTTGTTTGGAACTAATGCACTGCAGTTGACAGCAACAAGTCAGCAACCATGTATGCACATTAATGTGTGTACACACGTCAATACATATTCTCAAAAGAGTTTCAAGCCAGAGTGACACTAAAAGAAAGAGGAGCTAGAACAGAGCGAGGTTGCCAAAACGGAAGAGAGACATGAAATCATGGTAATTTTGTCAACCTTGAAATGTACTTGAGACCTTTTTTATATAGCCAAGAAAAATCCGGGGGCCGCGGCGTATGGTTAAACCTTGTTGTTTGGTGGACAATGGACCCGCTCCTCTACTCTTCTACACTTAAATACTAGGCTTTTGTCTGTCGTGGATTCAAACTCCTTATGTGCAACTAATCCACACATTTCGATACTGCTCTTACCACTACACCAAGAGCGAGAAGTGCAAACAACCTTATTGATCACTTGGGATATGCTTACACATGGTCTGAGAAACCAGGCATCCTTTGACGACTGCAAAAGAAGGAAGCTTACATACTCCAGAGGTTTCAACTTCTAATAATATATATGCAAACATTGACATAGAAGTATATGCTTCATAGTTTTATAACTAACGAATGTAGAGTACTGGTGAGTTTATCGAGAAGATAGCATTAGCATGAGGTTCTTTTTATATTTTTACAAATCAGAGTAACGCCTAACTATAATTGTGCTTCCTGACAGGGAAAATGGTACGCTTAATCATAGCAATTAAATCAGTAGCTTTGTCAGATCTGAGAAAACGGGAACTGGAATATACCATAGGGAACTTTTGGTAATTGAAAAGTGATGAATATTACGGATTTTAGTTAAGTTGACTTTTGAACCAAGGCTATAATCATTATAATCATCAAGATTAAGTGTTAATACCTCTATTGATAAAAGTATCCAGAGCATCAATCTCAAACACTGGAAGTTTACTATGTCGTCTCAACCTTCAATAGTTCCAATTACCAGAAATCATTGCAGGAACATTGACCATCTGCAAAATGATGAAACCTGTATGCATCCCGTACAATAATGGCCCGATTTGCAACTTTCGACACACACTTTATCCAATTGTGGCAATCATTGCAGACGCGGAGATTCTTCATCACTCTTATGGGGATCATTTCATGCAAGCTTAAAAGTCCAAATGCAATAGCTAACTTTTCACTGTGAATATAAGCAGTTGGATCTTTTTGTCCCAACTCCAGATCATTCCAAAGACTATTATTGTCTTGAACATAACCAATCATTACTACCCGTTTATTTAGTTCCTCCACAAAGTCATAGATATGATTTGCTAGTGGATGGAGTCTATCTCCAACAAAAAATGCATGGATAGTGTTTTGAACTTCAATCCAGCTACGACCTGGCTCTTTCTTAACACCTCTATCTTTCATCAGTAGCCTTGTCTGGTTCCGAGAATCCCATCTTCCAAGAACTGCATATAGGTTTGATAATAAAACATAAGTTGCTGAGTCTTGAGGCTCCAATTCTAGGAGGCGGTGACCTGTCTCTTCCCCTATTTCAATGTTCTTGTGAACTATGCAAGCACTTAGGAGGGTCCTCCAAACCATTGCATCAGGTTCTACTGGCATTGTCTCCACAAAGTTCATCGCACGCTGCAAATGGCCAGCTCGTCCTAAAATGTCTACAACAGATGCATAATGTTCTAGTTTTGGCATTAAACCATAATCCTTACTCATTGAATTGAAATAGCCAAGCCCCTTATCCACTAAACCCACATGGCTACACGCTGATAAAACACCCAAATAAGTGACATGGTTTGGCTTCACACCAAGATGTCTCATCTCCTCAAACAGTTCTATAGCTTCATTGCCACACCCATGTTGAGAATAGCCTGTTATCATGGCATTCCATGAAACATCATTTTTATTTTGCATTTCAAGAAACTCTTTCCTGGCATCCACAAGGCTTCCGCACTTCGCATACAATGTGATCAGGATATTGGAAGCTTCTGTTTCGGCGTTATAACCTGTCTTTTTTATTCTCGCATGAATCTGCTTCCCCTGTTTAATATTAGTGGTATTAGCAGCGGCACTAACAGCAGATCCATATGTGAACATGTTAGCTTCCACTCCATCTCCGTGCAATCTAGAAAATACTTTTAATGCTTCTTCACAAAATCCACTTTGGGCGAATCCTGATACCAAGCCATTCCACGAAATAATATCTTTTGTATCAATTTTGTCAAATGCTGCATATGCATCTTGTATTTTGCCGCATCTCGCATAAAGAAAAATCAACGCATTGCCTATTGAATGATCTAATGAGTAGCCTGACATCACTGACTGTGCATGGATTTGTCTCCCTTGATAGAGTGCTTGAATGCCGGCACATGCGCTGATTGCACTTGCAAATCCTATGTTATCAGATCGAATACCACGGTCTTGCATTTCTCTAAAAAGTTTTAGAGCTTCAACAAAGAAGTCATGCTGAGCGTATCCAGCAATCATAGATGTCCAAGATACAACATCTTCCTCATTTAGACGCCAAAAGATTTTCTCTGCTGCATCCAATTTTTCATGCTTGGCATACATATCTATAAGCACACTACACACATAAACATTCTGCCAAAAGCAAGTTTTTAATACTTGGCTATGTATTTGTTCTCCAAGATACAGAGCGCCAACAGATGTACAAGTTCTCAATATACTGGGGTATGTGTATTGATTAGGTTGTAGCCCTTTAAACTGCATCAGTGAAAATATTTTGAATGATTCATCCAAATCACCCATCTGCCCATAACCCACGAGCATCACATTCCAAAGAACAATGTTTTCCATCTGGCTTCCAAGGAAAAATTTATGGGCTGTTTCAATGTCAGAGCACTTAACATAAAGGTCAAGTAAAGAACCTTCAATAATGCTATCTGAGCATAGACCTGCCTTTGTTGCATAAGAATGCAGTTGTCTTCCCTTCTGAAGAGCTCCTAATGATGCACAAGCACCTAAGAGGCTTGCAATTGTAACACAGTCAGGTTTTAACGAACTTAACTGCATTTTTTCGAATAACTGTAGAGCCTTATCACTGAATCCTTTCAAAGAGAGACCAGAGATTAGAGAATTATAGGTAACTCCATCCTTCTGCGGCATTTCAACAAATACTTGCTCTGCCAATGTCAAGTATCCACAGCGAGAATACAATGTAACAAGGGCATTACTGACAAAAACATTGGATAAAAATCCCCACTTATAAATACTAGCATGGAGCTGTTCCCCCAAATTAAATGCTTCTATCTTAGTGGATGCACTAATAACACTCGAGAAAACATATGGCGTCGGAATAACTCCAAATTTACGCATATCCTTATATAGGAGAATAGCATCTTCTTCTCGGTTGTTCTTGCAAAAACCAGATAACATGGCAACCCAAGACGAACTATCCCTTACCACCATATCCTCAAAGACTTGCTTAGCAGAATCTACGAATCCATTTTTGGAATACAAATCAATCAAACGGTTAGAAACGATGAGCTGCAACCCAAGACCATAGCGCGTAATCAAAGCATGAATCTGTTCAACACCCTGGATACGAAATGCAGCCTTGTTACCACTGCAAGCTTGCAGAACTTCAGAAAATGTGCACTCATCTGGATTAACATCTTCTCCTAACATTCGAGAAAACAAATTGAAAACTTCGTCATTTCTTTTTATCCTTGAAAAACCAGACAGTAATTTATTCCAGCAAGACACATTTCTAATTCCTATTGGCAAATTATCAAATATTTGCGATGCACTCGATAAATCTCCACCAGCAACATAAATATCAAGAAACCTAGCACCAATCCTATAGTCAGCGCCAAATCCCAATGTCAACAACTTCCCGTGTAGTTTCTTGGCATCTATAATTGACCCTTCACTCAAGCAACTATCTAGTAAGCTTAGATAATAAGTATGATCAAAATACCCTTTGTCCTTCGCTACCTGCTGATGAACAATAGATGAATAATATTCATTTTCTTCATCTGAACAATCATCAAGAACCACTGAATTTATACTTGCACAGCTACTAAAACTACAGTTCTTCAATCTAATTTGTTTACCATATTGAGAACTCCAAATTTCCTGCAAATTAGAGAAGAAAAGAAAAATATTTGGGAACCGAAAAAGTAGCTAACTTGACAAAACAAAACAAAACAAAAAATGATAAAGAAAGAATTTTTCTTTAAAGATTTTACCTTGCGAAGACAATCAGTAGACTTGAAAAGGGATTGAATATTTCTCATCATCTATTTTGCAAAATTCATCTTTTGTAAACCTAATTGAGCTCCAATTTTGTTTTCTCTTCTTCTTTGTGGTATCTAAGCAATGTTTTAAACAACATTTTTTTTTCTTCAACAATTTATAATATAGAACAATCCTTAATCGAAATACACCTTCTAATTACAAACAAGATTTTAAAAAATAAAATCAAAATTCTAAGTTCAAGCTCAGCAGTTAGAAGAAACAAATAGCAGCAATGTACTCTGAAAACCCTCTTTATTTGCTAAGTTATAAATCCACAAAGAAAAGACACTTCTAAGAAAATTGAAATATTTTCAAAAAGGATGTATGGAGAACACCTAAAACTTACTGTAAATTATTAATTTAATTAAAAATTTTCAAATTATATTCTAATTAAAAATATTATTATTTAATTTAATATATGTCGAATTTGTAATATAATAGTCTTAAATTTTTATAATCTTTCTTCCCGACGAGCCCTTTTTGATTTGGAAAACGGGCATTGCGTTCGGTTCGAAAGGCATGATTTTCAGTATGTGGGCGAGGAGGGATTCGAACCCCCGATACCGTGGTTCGTAGCCACATGCTCTAATTCTCTGAGCTATAGGCCCCACCCCGTCTCCATTGGATATGTTCCCGGGAGTACCCTCAAAAAAAGGAACCTTGAGAAAAAACATAAAATCATCTCTAAAATTATCCGATATTTGCATAAGAAAAGCTAAAGAAAGTGTTGGAAAACTTTGTACACTTAACGAAAATTTAAAATTTTATTTATATCGTAACACTGAAAATTTTAAATTAATAAATTAAATAAATAAATATATTTAAAATTAGTTAAGAATCAAACTAATAGTTCAGTCGAATTTCAAAGTATTCATAGTATTTCTCTATTTTCTGCTAGTGTACGAAAATGCCTTTTCTATGTTAAACTTCAGTTAAAAACGAAATATTTCCTAATAGAGGAGTATATAAAATGTTTAAAATAAGGAGGAAAAAAATATAAATTGGCTGAGCACGTGCTGAGAACACGTGAGAGACTCTGCCGATTTCAACCGTCGGAAATCAATCCGTTGCTCCGGACGATGGATCTCCTCCGGTGCTCCGGCGTTCGGTTTCCTGTGACTCCTCTCCTACGTCCATTTCGTACGGAAATTCGCCCATGCTTCGCCGCTGTGAGGTCTGTCACAGCTGATAACTCTCTGCGCCGTTGCTAAAAATTCACTTTCCTTAACCGATTCTAAATTCTTACTCTTTCTGCGTTTGCAGGTCGAGTTTGAGTCTTCCATTCCCCGAGCAGAAAGCCAAATATTATAGAGAGCTGGAAGCTGCTGTTGATGTTGTCGAGCGAGCTTGCCGTCTCTGCGTTGATGTAAATTTCTTTTATTTAGCTCGCTACTTATATCGATTACTTGTTATTGAAATTGAATGAGTCTGAATAGAAGGAATCGCTACATAGGCAACATACAGTGTGTTTGGTTGATTGATTGTGTTAACTTATTATTTTTAGGTGCATTTGGTTAATAGATGTTAGTCAATTTAGTGTATTTTCTGAAAAGAACTAGTTTTTCTATGAATTGACGGAACATCGTGCTAATTTTATTGTAATTCCATAGAACACATATGTGGAAAGACTGGTGGCATTTGTAATAAGGAACTTCCTCTCTGCTATGATACAATCTGTATAATTTGATTTAGTACATGGAATTTTTGGTATGTGAAGTGTTCTACAGTGTACTCAATGCTTAAGTTCATAGATTTTGAAGACAAAAGATATTAGCTTTTCTAAGAGTTGATTGGGGGTGGGGGTGGGTCAGCAGCCTGTCAAGTTTTGTTGAAAGTAAAGTTCGGCTTCTTGTTTTCTCATTTTCTTTTTGATGTTGCTAGGTGAAGAGTTTGCTGTTCTCCGATGATGATAAGATTCTTGAGAAAAATGACCAAACCCCAGTCACTATTGCAGACTTCGGGGTGCAGGCTTTGGTCAGCTTGGGTGATCCATTTTTATTTTCTTGAATTCTTTATCATCTTCGTGATTAGTTGATTTAGAAGTGAGATCAGTTTTCAACAACATTTTGTAAAATTGGAAGGAGAATAGACAACAAGCATGTTGGAGGTCTTATTTGTCTCACCACATATTTTTTCCTCTAGTAAGAATGTTTTTCAACCTATTTATAGTTCTCAAGTTGCTTTCTGCTTCATAGAGTAAATATGGTAGGATGCATTGATACTGTAAGATGAAGGTGGCAGGATGAGTATTATTTCGTAAGTGAACTTCCGTTACATTGCTGCAATTGATTTCTTCATGACATGCATTTTTCTTGTTACATGAAAATGTACCTAATGAACCATCAAATAATTTAAGAATGGTCAATCATGACAGATTGTTTTATTTCCCTTCTGACACTCTTGATTATCCTCTTAGCACAGAGCTGAATCGTTTCTTTACTCTATCACTTCCTTCTCTGATAGAGATGAACAGACTCTTCCCGTCCATTCCTTTGGTGGCTGAAGAGGACTCATCATTCTTGCGGTCAACTAATCTAGTAGGAGCAGTAGTTGATGTGGTCGCTAATAAAGCAACCTTTAGAGACGAAGTAACCGAAGATAGTGTCTTGAAAGCAATTGACAGAGGAGGCAAGGATGCTTATAATTTTGGGCCTAACCCAGCCACGTACTGGGTAAGTTGAGTTTGACTCATGAGTAATATTCACTAATTTTCATGGTAAACTCTATCCAATCTTTAAAACCTTTACATAAAGAAGGAATTCCTGTGAAAGGAAATAATAGAATTTTCAATTCCACTTTGGGGGATAGACCTCTTGTCACACAGCTTTCATAAATTTCATCGATCTGGTACAGGTGCTGGATCCCATTGACGGGACACGAGGGTTTGTTAAAGGTGTTGAAGCTCTCTATGTGGTATGTCTTGAATCTATATTTTTCTCTTATTATTCTTTGTTTCTTGTCGTCTTTTGTTTTCCCTTTTCTTCTTTCTAAACCAGCATAAAAGGAAGAAGGAAAGATTGTCACTAGTATAGGTATTCTAATTATGAAATACCATTAGCAGTAGCTAGTAAAGAGGTAGCTTATCCATGTATTGATTTTTGTGTAAGTTATACAACATTTGGTAGTTAGTTAGGAATTAAGTTAATCATGTATAAAATTAATACAATGTTTGGTTTTCAATTTAGAAATCCACATAACTATACAGGCACAAGTTATGAGGGAATTGATGTATTATTTTATGTGGGGTAGAAGATGGAACAGTTAATACCTGCATAACTTATACTTGGTAACTTATACCCACATAAGTGCATAACTAATACCTGCATAATTTTAATCAGCTTTTAGTGCCCAAGCTAACCATCTCGGAGGAACTTTAGTAAGGAGAACAGATTACATGTGAAGTTGTTTTCCATGACTATGTCCAAAGATAGCAAGTATTAGTTGTTTAATTGATTGGTTTTAGTTCAAAACAAGGACAGATGCCAAATAAGCTCTCTATGGCTTCTCACCACATAAGTAACCTCCACAGCTCAAATGAAAGCCTCTTTTGTGAAGGTTTTCATGTGTCAAACAGGTCTTCTCAGTAACGAAGCATACCTTCCTTGTAGGAAGCTTTCATTTTCCAATTGCCTCCACGGTCATGAATTACCCAGTTTACCACCAGTTTTTCGAGACGAGTGGCAGGAATTAACTGTGAAACATCCCTTATTAAGAGCTTTCTAATACATTTTATCCTGACAATGAGCTAAGTTTTGAAAGGATTCCAAGGCTTTCAAAAATTTAGCAAATCTGCCCATCTTCCAATCATTCATATGTCTTCTGAAACTGAGATTCCATCCATCTTGCCCTGTATTACTGAACAAAGTGGTGTCAGATAACAAAATTAGTCCTAATAAATTAGGAAACTGCTCTTTCAATGGACCATTCCTAATCTATTTACTACTATGAAAAGCAATCTTCCTGCCATCACCCACTTTGAAACCAATATTACTCAGAAAAACTCGACCATAAAGCTCTAACATTTTTCCTAACTCCCACATCATAAGGAGCAGGCACCACCTTTGAATATCAATGTCCTTTAGAGACACGTTTTTCATCAGTTACCTATTGCTATAAGACATGTTGTTCTGAACAAAATCACCACAGCATTTCATCATTAAACTGTTGTTAAGTTGCCTCAAGTTTCTAATGCCCGGACTATTCTCTTTCTTGCAAGCAGTCTGTCACGCTCCAAGACTGAGGTGGGACGTGATTGACACCTGACTCTAACTCCTTGTCTGGTGAACCCAGTACCCAATTCCTAACTGTCTGGTCATGGAGCATCACTGAATCTGAATTAGGTACTTTTTTTTTATAACCTTGGTGTCCGGGAATTATGTACTGATTTTTCCTAGTTTGTTACCCACAAAGGCTACTTTTCACTTAAGAGGGAATAATCCTAAAAAATACAGATTATTTACTGGTATTATCCTCGTCACCTTAAGGTTCTGATGTATTCTTCTATACTTCAACTATTTTTAGTAGCTTACTAATTTTCAATCAAATTACTCTATAGTATGGGTGGTATTAGTTCCATTGCTTTCAATAATTTCTCCCTACTCATCAAAAGGGAAAGAATTCATATCAATTGGTGAAGGATGCGAGGAATGATTTTATAAGGGTGAAACCTTTATATTGGTATTACAGTGGAAAGCACTCGTATCAGGCCTCTCTTTTTGTCTCCCCTCATCCTCTTTGTTTTGTTCTTTTTTCCTGACAACACGTTTCAGGTTAAAGTATTAATATTTCTCCAAAAAGAAGTCTTCGTAACTAAAGAGTCTCCGACGTTATATACATAGCTTTCCATCATAGCATGTTCTTTTAGGATTTGTGAACTGATTGAATTGAGATTATACCTCTTGCCATTTCTTTTACTTATTTGGTTAGGTTTTATTGTTAGGTGGCTTTGGCTCTTGTGGTTGAAGGACAGATTGTTTTGGGAGTTATGGGGTGCCCTAACTGGGATGAAGACTATTTTGTTATATGTGTCACCGGTGTTCAAGAAACTGGAAACAATTTCTCCAGATCTGGGATGATTATGGTTTCTCACGTGGGTTGTGGAACGTGGAAACAAAGGTTGTCACACAAGTTAACCATCGAGTTGTCTCAAAGTTGGACAAGATGCTCCGTCGATGGATGCCAAGTACTTAAGGAGGCACGTTTTTGTACACCAGAAAGTCAGAAGTGGGAGTCTTTTCCTCTATCATCCTCATTTAATGCAAAAACA